TATATATATATATATATATATATGTGTGTGTGTGTGTGTGTGTGTGTGTATGTATATTTAATGTAAATATATCTGGTCTCTCTGCTAAACAATTTTCAAATAGACTGATGCTACTTTGTTTTTCTGACAGCCAAAGTTTAGTTGAAGCGAACAGTTGTATTCTGTTTTTTTTTTTTTTTAACCAATAAAATCATTTTCGCACCCCGTGCTGAAGCTTGTACACCCCCCTACTACAACCCGGTTGTTGTCAGCGGTAGTTTCTCTATTAAAACTACTTGTTCAGAAAACAATGGAAAGCTAACTCACTGATCCCCACCGGCTAATAGCGGCTAAAAAATAAGCTCCGAAGTTAAACGCTTTGTAACTTTAACAAAAACACTGTCGCATTCGAAGTGCTTCTCCCCTGACCGTAATGGAAAACGAGTAAAAATAAGTGTTCAATAGTTTTTTTTAAAGAAATGTAACAAACCTGGCTGTTAACTGTAGTTATCTCGGAGAAGAAACTGCTAATAATAGCTAACGACTTATACACAAACATCTCTTCTTGGTCCGCTGACTTCTTCTTCGTTGATTTAATTCCGGTTAGCAAAGAATAATTCGATCATTAGCGCCACCAATCGGTGAGAAGAGTGAACCTCCACTAAAATAAAGTACAACGTCTGAACTTTTTCATGAAATAAACCCAAACGTTTGAAGAAACGATCAATCACAATATTACATTACATTTATTAAATTTACGTACTTTTTTTTTTTAACAATTGAACTACATCTGCATACTTTATTGTTATTGTAGCCACTCATATGTTCTGCACATTATACCTGCTTAGACTTCTTACATGAAATTATTAAACTTTATTTTAAGTGATTTCCCCAATAGAAATAGAGATATCTTCAATTCATTCAAAAACATAGTTCACTTTGTAATCTAACTTGCTGGATATTTGTCTCCTTGTGCTAAATTTAAAGCTACTATGATGCAACTGTAGGCATATGGCCCCTTTAGCTTTTAGCTATTGTTCTGCTACTTATAATTTTCAACAAGTCGTTTTATTCTTTTAGCTTTTAGCTCCAATTCTGTTATTTTTAGCGTTTGTGATGTTTTTAATTTTTAAATACGGTTTTGTTGCTTTTAGTCAGGTCAAGTCAAATTTATTTATAAAGCACATTTAAAACAGCATTTAGTGCTTAACAATAAGATCAAGGCAGTTAAAACAAAAAGAAAGCAACAAGATGTAATTAAAAGCAACAAAAAGGAAAACATAAAAATACCAAAACAATGAGAAACAATGAAATAGTAAATCAAATTGCATCAGTGAATACAGGTGTGGTGTGTTGGGGGGGCAGATTGTTCCAAAGTTTAAGGCCCATGACTGAAAAAGCCCGATCTCCTCTGAGCTTCAGCCTGTTTTTTGATACAACCAAAAGCACATGGTCTGGTGATCTCAGTGCCCGAGAAGGAACATATGTTGAAGTAGGTCAGAAAGAGGGTGCAAGGCTGTTAATGCACCTAAATGTCAACAGGAGAATTTTAAAATAATTTCTGACATGCACAGGGAGCCAGTGAGGGGAGGACAGAACTAGTGAAATGTGTTCAAATCTATGAGTTAATAGTCGAGCTGCAGCATCTTAGCTCTTAGTTAGCTTTTTATAACTTTTAGCTCCAGTTTTCTTCTTTGGCTTTTAACTATCCATTTGCTACTATCAGCGAATTTCTACCCTTTTGACACTTTTGTCTTTTAGCTAGTATTTTGCTACATTTAGCTGAAATTTTGTCTTTCTTTAAATATTTTAGGTGTCCTTTTACTTTATTTTATTTTTTATTTTTTAGCTTTTATCTATCTTGTTTCAGATTTTTGCCACATTCAGATCTTGCTAGTTTTAGTTTGTTGCTACTATTAGCTTTTAGCTAGCATTTGGCTCCTTATAGCAACATTCTGTTTCTTTTAGCTTTAAAAACTTATTTTTATCTGTCACAGAAAATAAATATTATTTTAGTTTTTCAGTTGCAGCCCTATTTTATGGTTGATGATTTTTGACACAGAGTCATTACATTTTAACATTTTTTTCTTGCTGATAAAAAAAAAACAAGTTTCTTTTCTTTATATAATTTATTTTGGTATTTTCTCATTCTCCAACTTTTCAATGAAATCTGTAAAATTATCCTTCTTTTCCCCTATCTCCCCAGTGTTTTAGTCTATTTTTAATTGTCATTACCTCCTGATTTGCTCAGGGAAAATGTTAACTGTTATTTTATTGCCAGTCTGTTTTGGAAATTCTTCAGCAACAACAATATATGTTTGTATTTGTTAAAATAATCCCCAATAATCCCATCAACTGAGTTGCTAAATTATGATTTTTAAAATGCAATAACTGGGAATAAGCACAAGAGGCCCCTGCTGCATCTACTTCTATTTTGCAGGCTTTTGAATATTGGTTGAGGATGAAACTACTCATTAATGTTGACAGAGAGGGAGATGCTCTATTTTGAGGATGGGGTCACCTACACAACATGAAGCGCCCCCCCCCCCCCCCCTCCAGGAGGAGCTGACTCATGGCCACATCGGTGCTGAGCAGAACTGAACACGCCAACAATCATATTTTTATAATATTAAAACTACCAAATTCTCCCAATAAAATAAACAGATAAAAGGATTTGTAATAAGAATTTCAAATCCTATATTGGTAAATTATTTACACTTTTGAACTTTTTTGCAAATTATACTAACACAGCTGAACACTTAATAAAATATTCATAAATAGATTTACACTGTAGGGTCTGTTAAAACCAGGACTGTGTTGTTCTTGCATAAGAACGGAATGCAGTAAAAGTATTTTTGTCAAATATTTTATCTTGATTTATTTAAGTGGAGAAGAATGTTCATATTTAATGCTTTAAATTATAATGCTACATATCATGTAATGTTTTTCAAACACAAGTGTGATCCCAAAGGGCAATAAAATATGATGAAATAAATATTAAAACAATATGAAAGTTTATCAAATCAACTTTTTCATCGTAGTTAACAATGAGATGTAAGTCGATATTTAGGAAAATAACTAAATATACAGAAAATACCCCAAAATATTAAAAGTAGATCAGTTTTAGGTTTTAAGTTTTTGAAGGTGGGGTGTATGTATATATAAAAAAAACCCAAACCTTTTCATGGGTGCTGAGTTAAAATTTAGGGGTGCTTGAGCACCCCCCCCCCAAAAAAGCACAAGGTACTTACAGGCTACCAGCAGGGGTATTTACTTACAGGTTACATATAACACTATTTACAAGTATTTACCAAGTATGTGCAGGGTATGTACAGGAGTACTTACAGGGTATATACCAGTGCTCTTACAGTTTACCTATGGGGTTACTTACAGGGTACCTACAGAGGCACTAACAGGGCACTTACACTGTATGCACAATGTACTTACAGGCTACCAACAGGGGTATTTTCAGTGTACAGGTTACATATAACACTATTTACAAGTATTTACCAGGTATGTGCAGGGTATGTATAGGGGTACTTACATGGTACTTACAGGGTATGTACCAGTGCTCTTACAGTTTGCATTTGGGGTTACTTACAGGGTACCTATAAGGTACTTACAGGGGTAAATTTAGGGCACTTAAATGTACAAAAGGGGTACTTACAGGGTACCTAAAGAGGTACCCTGCTAATCTAACGCTAATCTAAAGAGGTATTCACAAGGTACCTACAGGGTTTGCACCAAGGTACTAACTTACAGGGTACTTACAGTGCACCTACAGGAGTACTTACAGGTTACTTAGTAACAGGGTAAGTGCAGGGTACTTACAGAAGTACTAACACGATACTTACAGTGTATGCACAGGAGGCCAATAGGGCACCTAAAAGGGTATTTACAGGGTACCTACCATGTTTGCATGGTGGTATTTATTTACAAGGTTATACGATGGGGTACTTACGGGATATCTTCAGGGGGACTTTCAAGGTATGTATTGGTAGATAGAGGTATTAAATGGACTGTACTTATACTGTATAGTGCCTTTTTTGTCTAGTCAAGATACTCAAAGTGCTTTACACTACAATCTGTGTCCTCATTTACAGGGACACTTCAACATGTGAATACTGGTGGAGTCGAACTCTCAACTCATTCATTGGAGGGCGACCACTCTTAACCACTCAGCCACAGCTGCCCCACTTACAGTATATGTAACAGTACAGTATCTTACATGGTACCTAAAGGGATATTTTCAGAATATTTACTTGGTGCCTACAGAGTGTACTGGGGTTACTTACAGGGAACTTACAAGGTTTGCACAGAGGTACTTACTAACAGGACACTTGCAAGGGTACGTCCTTTTACAAGATCCTAATTGTTTAACTTTAACACATTTACCACGAGAAAGTATTTAAAGAAGCCTATTTGCATTCAAAAACTTAACCCTTTCATGCATGAATTATGATGACTTCAACCAGGATTTTTTTCTAAAATGTTTTTATTTTTCTTAGGACATAAAAAACTGTAGAAAAAAATTGTAAAAATTTAATTTATTAATTTTTTTTCCATATGTCCACTCAGCTGGACATCATACGTTTCGAGGTTCTTTACTAACGAAATAGTGTATGCTATAATGTGAACATATTTTGAAATATTTTGACATTGCTTAAAACACAGCAGTTGATCTGAGGAAACGTGTTTTCTCTGCACAAAGGTAAATATGTGTAATATGAAAAAATGCTTTGTTATTGTGCGAATGCTTCTGAAGCATTCACACTATTGTAATTGTCTTCCGTGAATTTTCGCCACAATTCACTTCCTGCAGTTTTCAAGCTATATCTTTTTTTTTTTCCATTTAACTTTTCATTTACCCTTTATTTATACAGGTAGTCTCATTGAGTCACAAGAACTCATTTTCAAGAGAGACCTGTTTTTGGGAGCAGCTGGTGGGGGTTTAGGGCCTGTGGGGCAAATGAGGGTGGAGGCAGGTGTGGGTGTTTCACCTTTTCCACACACATTTTGATGTTGACGGTACCGGGAGTTGAACCTGCAACTTTCTGATCACAGGCCCATCTTCTCTAACCTCTGCGCCACCACTCCCCTTTCAACAAATTACACCAAATCATATATCAAAACGTTCAGCTCTTTCAGGAAAATGCTGCTATGACTTTTGGTATTGATGCAACTTAAGCTTTTAAGCTTTTTTCCTTTTTTTGTTTACACTTTTGTTGTCAAAGAAAATGAATTGAGCTAATTTTACATCCTCAGTCTTTAGATCTGTTTACAACCTTTTACTGCTCCTTTCACATTTTGCTCTGGTTCAGCTTCTTTGCAAATTTAAACTTTTTTCAGCTACTTTCAGCATTTTTTTTTTCAGCTTTTTGTGCTCCTTTCAGATTACCAGTATTTCTGCTAACTACAACATTTTTCTGCTTCTTCTAACTTCTTTTTGCTAATTCCAACAGAAATGGACAAATTCTGCAAATTTCAACCTTTTCTGATGTTTTGGCTACTATTTAGCTGTTTTATAAATTTATTTAATTTAAGCTTGATTAGTATATTTAGCTGTTTTAGCCAATTTTAGCTTTTTTTTTTTTTTTTAGCAAATTCCACTTTTTTTTTAGCTCATTTCAGCTCTTTCTGATTTATTTTGGTAGTGTAAGTTTCTTTCTGATTTTCAGCTGTTTTTCAGCTGCTAATTTCAGACTTTTTAGCAAATTTCCTACTTTAGGTGCTCATTTCTGCTTATTTAAACCAAATTCAGTAGATCTTTCTGGTTTCTTGTGGTAACTTAGGATTGTTCTTGTATCTCAGCTACATTTCAGTATGTTTGCTAGCTAATTTCAGTAGTTTCCAGCTGCTAATTTCAGCCTTTTTAGCTAATTTCCAAATTTGTGTGCTCATTTCTGCTTATTTAAACCAAATTCGGTAGATTTTTTTTGGTTTTGTTTGGTAATTTAGGATTGTTCATGCATTTCAGCTCAATTTCAGTATGTTTGTTAACTAATTTCAGCTGTTTTTCAGCTGCTAGTTTCAGCTTCTTCTTTTTTTAAGTTCTTCTGCAAAAAGTATTCACACTGCATTTTCACAGGAAATGCAATTTCTCTAGTTTTTATTAATTTTATCAACTTTGCACTAAAACCCCCCTCCCTCCACCTCCACCACCACCACCACACACACACATCATCATCATCATCATCTTGAAGACAATAAATCAGTTTAGGTCTCTGGTGAGGTCTTATAGTGAACCCGGGCAGACAGCAGTCTGAGAATAGACCCAACTCTGCAGCCGCCCTTTGCCCCGAAGAGCTGCTGCAGCATCCAAACACACGCTCCTTCTCAAACATGTCACTTTTATTCAGGTTCAGTTACAAATGATCGCTTCAGCTACAGCTGCTGCCTGCCGTGAGTCATGCCCCTGTCCTGCACGTGAAGACGTCTCCCGTCCCCAGAAGGCAAACCTTAAGATGGTGTGTGGAGTAAAGTCTTCTGAGCTCTAACTGACATCTCTGACCTACAACTAAACACAAGATGGCGCCAAGAATGATTTAAACCTCTGTCCATGGTGCTGAAAACATCTGCGGGCCACCTTCTTGTGGAGTGCAGGAGCCAGGGGCCACAGCTGAACTCAGTGAGAAAATAAACAAGAAGCAGTCTTATTAGCTGTTAAGGCACTATATGCAATGTGTTAATTTCTTCATTTTAAAATGAATCATGCAGAAAATTCCAATAAATACTAACTTTTTTTTTTATTCTAGACATTTAAAAGGTGGATTTATTATCCAATCATTTGATGTTTATTTTTGAAAATCCATGTGAAATACTAAGCTGATACCTGCGTTTTCTCATAAAAGGGTTAGATATGAATATTTGCAAGTGCCACCCCAATTAATAAAAAAATATATATATATATATTTTAATGGAAATAAATGCAAGAGTTGAGGAAGAAGAGAGAATGAGGTGGGTGGATCTTCATGCTCTGAGTTGGGCGATCAAGAGAGAGAGAGGAGGAGAGAGAAACCGAAGTAATACAGAGGAAGAGCACGCGCAAAACAAGACGAGAGAAGGCACGAGCCATGTTCCCAGGATTCAGGTAAGTTTGGATGCTGCACAACAGCCTCAAACAGACAGTTTCAGACAGGTTTCACATGGCACTTGAAGCAGATGTGTCATAATTTGTGATGAAATATTCATATTGTTATTCACGCTCAGTGTTGTAAACCGATGCTTTGTTGAGTGAAACCCCGAACCAAAACAGTCTGGCCTCATTTGCGCATTTTCCTCGTGTGGAATTCTAAACACCACACAGACTGGATTATATATATATCTATATACATATATATATATATATAGATATATAATACTTGTTTGATTCGTGTGATTTGGGTTGAACCGTGAGGAACATGACCCGAACTGTCCCGAACACGTCCTTGTGTTCGGAAGGTGCGCTGTCCTCGGTGCTGAAAGCAGGTTGAGTTTTTCTCAATGGACAGCAGAGACTGGACCCACAGCAGAGGTTCTGACCCACAGAGGCTTTGGTTCTGAGTTCAGGAACACACATTTCACACTAAGCTGTGAGTTAGACGACCTGCATGGCTTTGATAGGAAGAAACGGGTGCACTCCTAACATCTGGCATCCATCACATCAGCTTTGTCCTGTTTCCCCTCTGCAGGTGTCCGTGGATCCCCTCCAGGTGTCATTCCCACGGGTTATGGCTCGGATAAACGTGGAGTCGCTCATACACCTCAGATAATATGCCAGCGCAGTTGGCGCGGCTCCCGCTCTGTGGCGCAACATGGCACGCGTAAAGATGGGTCCGTTCGCTCTCCTGTGTCTCCCCGCGTGTCTCCTCCGTGTCCTCGTGCTCTCGCCCAGCAGCGGCCTCGGCAGCATCCACGAGCGGTCGGCGGTCCCCCGCGCCGCGTCACGCTCCGTGGCCCGCATGGACGGAGACGTGATCATCGGCGCGCTCTTCTCCGTCCACCACCAGCCCTCCGCGGAGAAGGTGGCCGAGCGGAAGTGCGGGGACGTCCGCGAGCAGTACGGCATCCAGCGGGTGGAGGCCATGTTCCACACGCTGGACCGGATCAACGCAGACCCCAACCTGCTCCCCAACATCAGCCTCGGCTGCGAGATCCGGGACTCCTGCTGGCACTCCTCCGTCGCCCTGGAGCAGAGCATCGAGTTCATCCGGGACTCCCTCATCTCGATCCGGGACGACAAGGACGGGTCCAAGTGGTGCATCGACGGCACCCCGTCCAACCAGCCGCCGCCTTCCAAGAAACCCATCGCCGGAGTGATCGGTCCCGGATCCAGCTCCGTGGCCATCCAGGTGCAAAACCTGCTGCAGCTCTTCAACATCCCGCAGATCGCCTACTCTGCCACGAGCATCGACCTGAGCGACAAGACCCTGTTCAAGTACTTCCTGAGGGTCGTCCCGTCAGACACCCTGCAGGCCCGGGCCATGCTGGACATTGTCAAGAGGTACAACTGGACCTACGTGTCTGCAGTCCACACTGAGGGTAAGAGAGTCCAGCACCGACCCCAAACCACCAGAACATTCCAAACACACCAGCTGTGATTATATCTGTTAACATTCAGCTCAGTTTAATAAAAAAAAAAGGCTCCATATTTAAATTCAACTTTAACATTCAGTCCAATATATGCCAACAAGGAAAAAATAAAATCTAAGGAAGTCACTGCATCTTTACTTTGTAGCGGTCCCTCGTCATGCCCATGCACTGGTGCCAGTGGAGAGGAACAACTCCCATTTACCTCCAGCAGGCTTAGAATAGGCGACCATCTTCCTCAGCTGGCTGGGGTCTGAGAAGACAGGAAGGAGACACAGAGGAGCACAGGAGGATTGGTCCAGGTTACCATGGGAAGAAAAGCGAAGAAAATCACAGGTTAATGACAGCAACAGCTGAAGAGAGAAGAAAGAGCAGCAGAGTGAGGAAATGTGTTCAGTATGTCATATAGTGTAAGCTGTTGGCAGCAAAACTTACAATGGTATCTCACTGAGCTGCAACTGTTGGGAGACTGGTCGGTGAAAAATGGTCTTAAAAATGCAGGAGAATATGTGTATTTTAACTTTGTTGCAGTCTCACTGAAATCGAGTTTGTGACTACCAAACCAGAAGGCTGCATTTTGACTGGCCATTAAAAAAAACAAAAAAAAACCAACTGGGCCTATTTTTGGTGTTGCACATTCTTTTATTGCCCACCTCCACCCACATCGTACCCACCTTGGTAGCCGTCCAAACATTTATTATGTATTCTGCTGAAGTAGACTTTTGAAATGAGAATAGTAACTTTAGCTCTGGAGCTCTTGGAGACGTCTGCTGCAAAATTCAGATGGGTTGAAGACGGGTTGGAGCTGCCTTCGGTGATTCTGTGACTATTTCCATATAAAAGAACCTGACATTCAGGACACTCCCTCATGAATTTCATTTAGCAACTCCTTGCAGCCCACATTCCCCGGGAAATTCACACCATCCCTAACTATAGAGATTTATCATAAAAAGCAAGTCTTAATTCTAGTCTAAAAAGTATAGAGTGTCAGCCTCATGGACAGAAACTGGAAGTTGGTTCCACAAGAGAGGAGCCTGATAACTGAAAGATCTGCCTCCCATTCACTTTTAGAATCTCTAGGAACCACGAGTAAACCTTCAGTCTTGGAGCAAAGTGCTGCGTTAGGAAATTATGGAACAAGAAGCTCTTTATTATAAGCTGGAGCTTGGTAGTCGAGAGCTTTGTGTTTTAGCAATGCCAATAGAAAGAAGCTAAAAGTGGATAAAAGCCATTCCTCCTAACGCTCATCATAACTCCGACAGCAGAAAAACTGCAAACGACAAATTGTTTCTGATTTTAATATGGAGTTAATAACAGCACAAAACAATTTCAATAACTGTTGTAGGATATTTTTGAGAGGTCATTCACTTTGACATAGCTAAGATCACGTCCAGTCAACACTTTAAATGTCCTTATACTCACAAACCAAAATACGTATTATATAGCAAAATGACATTTTCACATGTGCCTTTCCCCCGTTTGTCTTTGAAGACCTTGATGCTATTCTTTTTGTGTGTTACTGTGTCACATCTGTGCATCTTCAAGGGTTTGCATCGTTTAAAAGAATACAATAAATACTGTGTTTGTTTTTCCACAACTTCACACCTAATTTGTTCTGTTGTTTGGGAGAAAAGTGTGAACTTCTTGGCTGCGGTCATCGCAGCAGGTTCCAAACGCTACAGGAAGACACAAGAAGCCAGCTGAAGTCCGTGTGCTCCTTTGGAAAGGGTCAGTTTATTTGCGCAGAAAGGCAAAGCAGCTTTCTTTGAAATTTGTTCAGAAACAAATGACTTAATATATATATATATATATTCAGTTTTCTTTTAATTCAGCATATCCCACCATGATTAGGCAACTTTTTCTTTGAGAACTCTTCCCTCAGCACAACGGCGTGCAACGGCGGTGGACGGGAGATAAAAAAAGGAAAGACGGGATGGGTAGACAAAGTAATTACTGGGAAATGAATTATGTCCGAGGCTTTTCATTAAAGTCTTGGTGAAACACGGTCCGTGATGTGCACCTCAATCAGGACTGACAAGATACATTAAGCAGGGTTTTCCCCCACAGGAGCTGCAGACGCACCGAGAGAGTCAAGCATCCTCAGAAGGCCTTTTTAGTCAGTTCCAGGCGAGGAGCACAGTTAGCGTGATCAGTTCGGTGGTGGGAGGAAGCAATAGGTTCCAACCATGGCCTGACCCTCCTTTGAGATGTGATCAACTCTCAGTTGTGTTAATTCCTGCAAGTAATGCTCAAACGAATGGATTGCTCAAACGGGGTTCTGTGGAAAGTATATGAACTAACAATGTCTTACCTGTTGTAGATAGCTCTTTGAACAACCTTAGATTGGAGAAAAAGAGGTGAATTCTGACTGGACTGACAGAAACTAAAGGGTAGTTTTCATCGAATTTCACTGCAGCTCATTTTGAGGCCATTTCATAAACTTCCATCAGTTTTTTGGTTCATTTTAACATGATTGCGGTATTCTGCGGGGAGCGGTGCAGCTAGCTGTTGCTGCTGTTTGTGCAGTCAGAAAACTACAAGTAAATAACAGTGTTATGTGAACTATATTAAGATGTACATGCTTATAAAATAGCATATTCATGAAATGCTGAGTCTCAAACTAGCTGCCTGCTTATCAGTCCGTTCAGAAATTAACCAATTTATCTCCAAACTGAGGTTGCCCAAGCACCTCATTTCAAATAATCTCAACTGTCACTTTAAAGTTATGGAAATAACGTGCAGCCAGTCTTTATATGTATAAATGTACATGTTGTAGTTACACATTGTACACTGGACAAATGTGTACAATCTGACACGATGTCCTGGTCACATGCAAACCCTCCTATTTGTCTCGTTATCTCTTCAGTAATCTCTGAGCACATGGTCACGGCGAGCTCGTGAGTTTTCATCCTCCGCCACCCCTAGACTAGTTTTAAGTGCAGCCTGTTGCCCGTGGCAACAGCTAGAGCAGTGAAATTGCTTAAATTACCTGTCTCAATAATCATCTGTGTGGTGGGACTGCTCCGAGCAGGTTTTCCGGTTATTGTCAAATGGGGTGTCAACTAATGCATCGCCACCGCCGCCCACCGGTCTCACAGCCACGACGGAGAGAGTAAAATAATTATTACACATCGTTATTTCCATTAACTCAGAGGCGAATGAAGAGAGACGATTGACAATATCATCAAAGGACTATTGGAAAACCAACACACGGAGCCATTGTGCGTCTGAGTGCGTTCCACTGATGTCCGTGCATGGATGGAATATTTACAATTGTCACATCGAGGCAGTGACACGACAAATGTTGTCACGAGTTGACAACCTCTGATGACATGCACATTCAGAGACGTGCTCCGGCACACGCAAGTGATTGGATTTTCTGTGTAATCCACCTTCCAGGCTGAGGAGCTGTGTTTGGAAAAAATATATATATATCATCAACCGTTCAAACACAGCGGTCCACGCGGAAGCAGTAGATTTAGAGCCCGAACAGCTTTGGCTCTTGATTAGGACAATTCGGAGTCGAAGAAGGACGGTCGACGACTGCAATCAGCAGCATGTCTGACACTGATTATCAGAGGATCAGAGCCTCGGAGCTCAGCCGAGACAAGACGCAGCAAACAACTGCTGAGGGGTGTGATCTATGCACCGCTGAGCAGTAAATAATGCAGATCATGTGGTGGAAAGTATATTCTCGTGACTAGGAAAAGCATCAACTGTTCGACTTCAACTATGTTTCGGTGTTTCACCTTCAGGGAACTACGGCGAGAGTGGCATGGAGGCCTTCAAGGAGCTGGCCTCTCAGGAGGGCCTGTGCATCGCCCACTCGGACAAAATCTACAGCAACGCTGGCGAGAAACACTTTGACCGGCTCCTGAGGAAATTACGAGAGCGTCTCCCCAAAGCTCGTGTGGTGGTGTGTTTTTGCGAGGGCATGACCGTCCGCGGCCTCCTGATGGCCATGAGGCGTCTCGGGGTGTACGGGGAATTCCTCCTTGTTGGCAGGTAAGAATTTGTGCATCTGTAATTAAAAAAAAGAAGCTTTTATTTGACAGTTCAGAGCAACTCTCTGGATGGCAAAGACTCTTAACAGACTGTGAGATGCTGTGTTGTCTTCCTGCGGCGCGTGTCGCCACGGCAACGGAGAAGTAGACCACATACCAATTGTGCTGAATTGAAATGTTCTCCAGCAATGAATAATTTCTGTTGCACGTAAACGCAGTGATGAAGGGATCAATGCTACTGGCTCATTCTCTCACAGTTGGTGTTGTTGTGTCAGACAAACAACCAGAACTTGGATACGTGCGTTTATAAACATTAAGATAAAGAACAAGACGATTTATGATGACAAAAAAAGTTTGTGCATACGCAGCGTAGACGAGAACTAAGATCAAAAGAAGCGTTTCAACTGCTGCCAGTGTCTCATCGGAGGTCACCATAGTAACCACACACCTGCGTTTCTCGCTTCCTGCAAGAGAGACAGACACAAACAGACTGAAAAGTAAGCCTCAAACTGTGCAAAAGAATGAACGATGTACTGTGAGTGGCAGAAGACTCCGTCACGATCCTCAGGTTTCAGACCCATTGGCAGGCAGGCGAGGAGAGCGGGAGTTTAAATAAAATAATTGATTAAACTCAGGCCGGTGAGGCAGCAAAAAAAACGTACAGGCGAGCAAATACCGAGCTGAACAGAACGACGGACGAGCTGGTACGGAACGGGACATCAGAATAAACTGAACAAGGCGGGTAATTGGACGGACAGAAACAGAAAGAGGAAGACCGTGGAGCAGAGAGCAGTGGTCGTACGGTTTGGAGGTGAATGGAAGAGGTTTAAATAAGGCAGAGGAAGCATGGGTAATGCGTGCAGCTGGAAAGGTAGGTGACTGAGGACAGGTGTGAATGATTAGGGGCTAGAGAGGCAAACTGAGGAGTGAGTGACAAAAATGACAGGAAACAGAAAAGGAAGATAAAGACATGGAAATACAAAGAAAACAGACAAAAAGGAACAGACCATGTCACTGATGGTCACACACATTCATTTTAATGTTGCTACAATGTTCATTTTGTAGGAGATATGAAAAGTTAGACTGTTCACTTCTAGGTTTGAAGAGTATATTTTGAGCTAAAATACAGCTGAACTCTATGGAAGGCTGGATGTGCACTGTCTGCACCCTGAGGGGGTTTATGAGAAAAGCACACGCCCTATAGCAACAACAGACATGCTGGGTTAAAGAAGACAAAAATGCCTATGGTAGTTGTACTTAAAGAAGTGTTTGCAAAACGATTACATTTTTTTTTTATATATCTCAAAATTCAAAGTGTGAAATCAACTGCCAGCTAAATATTTTACAGTGAAATCAAAAAAAAAAAAAAAAAAATCAATAAACTTAAACTGTGATTGTGTAAAAACAATTCAAATGCCAGTTTGGACACGTAAAGTCCAACATTTTGCGACCCATTTCAAATCTGATGCTTTTATTGTGAAGAATTCACCAGCTGTAGAGCTCCAAAGAGGACTGGACTTGATCACACGTTTAGTCAAAAACCCACTGATGTCTATGAGGGGAAAAGTTCTGTTTATTTGCTAATTTTGTCTACGTTATGTAACACAAAATTATTCTCAACTGAGCCACACATTCACTGTATAATTTCCAATGTTTTTTTTTTTTAAGCTGCATGGTGTGAAGCAGACAAAATGTGACAAACAGCACAGAATAGTAGTAAGAGCAGCCCTGTACTTATGCACTGGCACGCTTAATAATAACTTAATCTTTCCCTCTCCTCTTCCTTCTTTTTTCTTTATGGTAAGTAAAGCTAAATGACAGAGATAGACTTGAGTCGCCTCACACACAGGGCTGTATAATGCTGCAAAATGATCTACAATGAACATTTGCAGGTGTTAAAATAAGTGGAAGCAGAGTTGATGATTTTCATCAGCTCATTTATGCATCTTTTGCTCAGTTGCAAGGCAAAAAGGATTTAAATGCACTTCATGAGCTAATAATCATTATCATGCAAATTCTTTATGTGCTGTCCGTTTCAACTGGGTGAACCCTTTCAGGGCCACAGAAGAAAATGAAAAAACAGAAATCAAAACTGTGCTTTTTTTTGGTATTTTTTTATGTTTTAAATTTATTTTACCAGGCAGATCTTGAGATGTTTGATGCATTGATATGTTTCTCTGTTGCTGGTTGTGGTTCCTGCTGCCTCAGCGGTTTCCTACTCATGCAGGCCGTCCTTGACTGTGACCCGAGACATGCTGCTAAATAAATTTGGCCAAACGCAGGTCAGAGTGTCACTTCTTCTGTACCACAGCTGTCTGCTTCTGATGGGATTTTACAAAGATGCACAGTAATTATTGTGAGTTCTTGTCCTGCCGGACTCTGAATAATAATAATAATTGAACCAGGTTCCAAGAATTTGGTTTGTTTCCAAAGCATAAGAATATTCTGATAGTTCTTTTTTTTTTTTTAAACAATTTACATTTTGTTTTGACGACAGAGAAAAATGTCTAAGTTGGGCTTGACATGGACTTTGTTGAGTCATTTTGTTGATGTTTGCTCGAAGCAGGAAAGCTGCTTCCTCTTTAACAGTCAGCTATTCCCATAAGTGCTGTGCTGTTCCTAAAAGACCTGGTTTTATGTTCTGGGTGTTTAAGTGTGGAGTTTTCGTGTTATGCTCCACGCCACAGTCCAAAAACTCTGACAAAACCACAGTACGTTGTGACACTTTGATCTTTTAATAATTCAGAATCTGATCAGATTAATTTTCAATATCTGCACTTACATCGTCAGCTATGATGCTGCGACCTAACACACTTAATTCAAAAATAAACATATAAAGTAAAAAAGGCACACGGAAGATCTGAAAGACTTGTGAGAAACCACTTACTATACAAGAGACTTCATGGAAAAAGACAGAAATTTAATAACTTAAGAAAACACAAAAAATATTTACATATATATCCCATTGATTCAAAGTGATGCCACCTCCTTTAAAAAACAGATTATTGTTCAGATCTCTGTCAGATTTTATGATCTAACTGGAGAAATGGAATTTTCTGGAAAAACGTAACGTTAACGCAGCGTGCTGAATGACTGTGCTGAAACTGACTTGTTAGTAGCTAAAAGTAGAACACCAGCTGAAAGTGAAAGGAGTAAAACTGTCTCAAAGCTAAATGTAGCAGACTGATGGTTAAAAGCTAAAAGTAGCAAAATACTAACAATGAAACAAACGTTTCAAAATGCTAGCTGAAATTTACAACTGGCTAAAAGGTACATTTAGCAAAAGGCTAGCTAGAAGCTAAACGTAGCAAAAGACTAACAATGAGACAAACGTTTCAAAATGCAAGCTAAAATCTACAACTGGCTACAAGGTACATTTAGCAAAAGGTTAGCTAAAAGATAAAAGTAGCAAAAAACTAACAATCAGAGTCAGAGTCAGAGTCAGAGTTTCTTTATTGTCATTCGCACCTCATGTGGTACATGTGGTGGAGCGAAATTATGTACACAGGGTCCCAGTTACATCCAACAATAAAATGTATAAGAAAAACAGTAATAACATCTAAGATATGAACTAAGAAAAACATCAACTAAATATACACTAAGCACTCATAACATAAAACATTGAACATCAGCACAAACATGAACATGAGTCTGTGTGAGCGGATGAGCACGCATGAACACATCAACAATGAGACAAAATGTTTCAAAATGCTAGCTAAAATATACAACTGGCTTAAAGGTAAATTTAGCAAAAGGCTAGCTAAAAGTAGCAAGTTAAGTGTGGCAAAAAGCCAGTCAAATGTTTGCATACCATTAGCTAAAATGTATATATTGCAATAGACTAACAATGAGACAAACTTTTCAAAACGCTAGCTAAAATCTACAACTGGCTAAAAGGTCAATTTAGCAAAAGGCTAGCTAAAAGCTAAAAGTAGCAAGTTAAATGTGGCAAAATGCCAGTGAAATGTTGCATACCACTAGCTAAAAGGTAAATGTAGCAAAAGACTAGGTAAAAGCTCAAAGTAGCAAAAAGCTAGAAGTAGCAGAAAAGAGCTAAAAACTCAATGCCACTCAAGACATTTCTGCTGAAGCGGATTTCCAAACAAGCTATATTTCTGAAAGAATTGAAGAGATCTCCATGCTTTCCTACTGGGAAAATACAAAAATCACATCTCCTGAATGAGCTGAAGGTTTTCATTCACGAATGGATAAAATTAACCCAAGTATGCAAATTCTGCAAAAATAAAATAAAAGTGCAAAAAAGGAAAACAATGGCGTGAATCCTGACTCAGCACACACGTAAAGATTCTTTGATCAGATCCACATCTTCACTGAGGAATAACGTTCTTGTCATTGCTTGTACCCTTGAAGAAGCCTTTTCTATTTCCTGCGTTATCTTTGACAGAGCGGTGCTCTTATACCCTCAGCCTGCTTATGCTGATAAATTCACTGCACTCGTGGAAATCTGTGTTCAGAGTGGAGGATGGCACGTCTTCGTCTCAAAATGCCTTTTTAAAAGATCTGTTGGAGGGCCGCTAACACTACGATATATCTTTGTTTCTTTCACCCACATAGGAGAAGGGAAAATGTTATTTGAGCTTTTGTGGACGTCTCCGTGGAAGGAGGAAACGCTTCTAGGTCACAGCCTCACAGGGAGACAGAAGGAGGCAAAGAAAGACAGGGTGTGTAAAATGAGAGAACAAGTCTGGGCCAACGCAGATGCTACACCGTGTGTGGCCAAATAAAGCTGGCAGGCAGGTACGAGCTCATCAATGGGGAGCTTGTTTTCTTAATTTACACTTTCACCTCTAAAGTGGCCTCCTTTTCTGGTGTCGTACAGTTACAAAAAAATATACAAACCGAGAATTGATGTGCACTTTCATGACTATAAAAGTTTAATATTTTGGTTCTTGCTGTGATTTTTTGTGATAAAGCCACCAAAATTTCCAGCTTACAGATTTACAGCTGTTATAACTGTTTATAGCTGTTTTGGTTCAATCT